ATCTCTTCTTCCTTTTTCTATCTCCGGTATTCTTTTTTCATTCTGAGCTTGTAAGCCTTACCCAGTGGTGGAGGGGGGCTGATGGGGGGCTGGCACACCCATCGTCATGGTGCCCTAAGGCCAATTTCAGTGGAGTTTAATATGAGTTTCATATGCATTAAATAAGCTGACATATCATACTATAAATGAAGAAAGAGATGACAAAAGTTTCATAGGATGAAATGAGAGTTTCATAGGGATGAAAGTTGTTTACATGTTTCCAACAAACGGTAGTCTTGGAAGCTGGGACATGAAATCCCCACTGAGACTGGCCTAACAGTACCCCGTTTAGCTAGTTAGTTATGTAAATTAGTACATTCTATTCGCAAGTTAATTATGTCAATTAGTGCTTTGCTCACCAACCAAGTCTTGTCCACATGATTCCATGGCACCCTAGTTATTTGCCAATGTGCCACCTTAGGGAGATCAATCTAGTCAAATTCTTTTGCTTTCCCTCCTTCTACGAATGATGCATATATACTGGCAAGGAAAAAGTCAACTTTTACAAACTTTAATCAACAATTTGTCTAGTTATATGCAAGTTTAGGGCATAAAACTTGCACCAATGCATTTCTTTCAAATTTACTCTAAGTTTATATATTGGTTCTATAGTAATTGACAACATATTGTAAGTAAAATTGAGGAATAAAATATGCTTTGTATGACTTCTACATGGTCCAAATATCCTTTTTATCATTTTTGGACTAAGGGAGTATACTCTTTTACTCATCAATCTTGCAAATGAGTCCATGTGTCAGAATCTAATTCTATATATCTGAACCCTTCTATCCAAATGAATGAAACCCCTTTTCATTCAAACTCCACCTCTGCCCATGTGGCCGTGATATATGTGTGGATGTGGCTAAAAGCACATCCGACCATGTGCTCTCAAAAGGAAAGAGTAAAATTCAGTTGCTTAATTACTAAGGGTGGTTGTTGGTATAAATTAATGCACACAGAATAATCCGCAAGCGCACAGATATTATACCGTTGTAGCACTTCACCAAGAGTAACCCAGTTTTATATCGAACCCAAAGGAACGGGGGTGAGAATATCCAATTCTAACTTAACCCAACTTCAGAATCAAGGCTAGATAATAGGAGCATAGAGGAGACTGCTAAGGTCTTCTAGTTCTAACTTCGGTAAGCTTTATCTTCTATTATTCAATTCTGGAGATATTACTAGAGAAAATACAAGCAGAGTATGTTTTCTATTGTAACAAAGTTTTGATAGGCCTACTAACGGGAGGTGGACTACAGAGGATTCAACAAGGCTATAAGAGTCACCCTCGTGAGCTACCACCGATCCGAAAAATAAGGTATATCCACGAGTAACCGAGTCTAAGCACCACGCTTACAGTATGAATACTACTTTAACCAAGGAGCTACAAGGATTAAAGTACTCAAAAGAGAATCACAAACCTGAAGAATAATATGAACAAGATGCTTACTTGAATTAGAAGTCGATTACTAGAGAAATCTCAGAAGCAAGCTCAAGAAGAACTTGATTCCGCTAGGGTACAAGTCGTAGAGAGAGCACCGACAGGTCGGGACTCCTCCAAAACTCTTCCCTCTCACTCTATGTCTCTTTCTGTAATACAAGACAAGATTCTATCGAGGACTAATCTTCTCTTGATTGCTAGCCCTGATCCCGGTAGACATATGAATTAGGGTTTCTGGCTTCTCAGCTCTCAGGATCTGAACATGGTAATGAATTAGGGTTATGGGGGGAGGAGCAGGCAGATATATATAGCCCGGAGTGTCAATTCTCAGCTCTTAGATCAAACCCACTTGAAATAACGGTTGAGATGCATCACAGGAGGCGGTGGAGAACCGACATAACAAAGGGGATGACAGGTGGGGCCCATAGGGGCCAAGCGACCTGGCAGTGGGGTCGGGCGGCCCCACATGTTAGTGGGTCGAGACCTGCTTCGGTGGAGAGCCTCCTGGAGTCTTCTGGAACCTTCCCACGTTGATCTTGTGGTGGAATTCCGTGATTTTCTTTGACGAATAGGTCCCCCTTAATGGTTTTCTGATTAAATCCTGCTGAAATCATAGATTCATCAAAACTCATGAAATTTGTTAGTTTAAACCCCTAAGTCTATGTTGGTGATCCATTTTAGCCATTTATGCAAGTTACATTGATGGTTTGTGATGAGTGTTACTTACCGTCAACAGTGGTCCTAACTCCCATGTGACACATATACATACTTCATTTGAATTTTAGAATTACAATGCAACACATATACAAACCCTCTAGAAAAGGTTGAGCATATAAGTGCAGAGAAATTAGAAAAGAACTGAAACTATGCAAGAAATCTGCTTTCAAACAGATCATTTTCTGTTACCATCATGTTTGAGCAGCTTGCTCCCCATGAACACCCCAAGAGTCTGAAGATGGTCCTTTGTCTGCATATCCCATATCTGATTAAGACAAAACCACACTAAGCAGGTGAATTGTGAAGCCACATGTATTTTTCCATTATCATAAAACACACTATATTATGATTACCAATTGGAGACCCCTTTTGAGGCCTCCGTTTTAATCCAAGCAAGACTCCTATCAGGGCCTTACTCGGAGAGCGGTGGTGTGGGGCACTGGAGTAGCGGTGGCGTTGGCCTTAAGATATGACTCAACCGGGAAAGCCTCAAACCTCTCACACTTGTGTCAATCATTCATCATACATACACATGGGCACATCTCCACCATGCATTCACACAGCCGCAGTGCAGGTGTCCTCTCCTTGTTCGGTGGCGGCGGCGCCCGCGCCTCAGCCCAGCAGCGGCACACTCCGTCCGCTTCTTCTCCACGCGTCGTTGCTCACTTCTTGGGGGCACATCAGAGATGCATGCACAGTGGGGCCCACTGGTGGCAAGTGAAGCTTGGATAAGCTATTTTTCAGCTTTATCTCATCTCTTCTCTCTATGAGAGCACAGAAAAAGGAGCTTCACCCATGAATCTGTTTTGAAAAATACTGTTTGGCAAAAAAAATAGCTCATGAAGCTGTTGTGGAAGCTTCATTCTAGAGGGGCGAAGCAAATATTTAACCATTGCTAATAATATTTAATCATTGCTAATATTTAACCATTGCTAATATTTAACTCCGTTTCTAGTTTTTACGAATAATACGGCATGCACAGCAATGACATGTTCGCGACTCTGACTTTCTGAGTGCGTTGACGCATGCAAAGTTCTGTTCTCAACGAGTTTACTCTGTCAACAGTTAACGTGCTATTGCCCCCGTGCGTAGCATCACTGCTGACATGCGAGTGTTCTGACTGACTGTCAACGGAGCAGGGAATACGTAGGTGTTTTAATTTTACTATACTAGTAAGAAGCGCCAGCCAGTACCTCTGAGCCTGTAAGGCTGTGACGTAATAATACAATAACCATGTATTGATTCCCCAACACCTACCACAGTATATGATAACTAATCGAGCTTAAACAATGATGCGTGACTTCCCCAACACCTTACCAGCACGCAATACGTATGAGCTGGTTCAATACCAAAGACTGCTCCTATCTTATATGTTACTCTATCCATTCAAATTATAAGTCAATTTAACTTTTTTGAAGAGTCAAAGTATCTCAAGTTTGATCAAATTTATATAATAAAATAATAACATATATGATACCATACAAATATCATTAGATTCTTCATTAATTATATTTTTATAGTATACCTATTTGATATCATAAATATTTATAATTCTTTCTATAATTTTGGAATAACTTATAATTTAGAATGGAGAAAGTAGAATAGTTTATACCCACAACAACGGTGATAAGTGATTACCGATAGGAATCCCCTCCCAAGTCCCTCCCCTTGCGTGGTGCTCATAAGACGATTACATCTTTACGGCTCTCGCAACCAAGAAGCGTACAGGAGATACTCAGAACCATAGGAGCTGGATGAGCGACTTCAACCTACTGAAACAGGACATGATCCACAAGTTCACTTCATCAGTGATCAACTGCAGAAGGGCTGACGCCGTGGTGCTTGTTCTCCTGAAGGCTAGATGTTTTTTTTTAAGGATTTTTCTCTTTTCCTAACGCGTCTTGTGAGAGTTAACGTGGCGATGAGTATGTTGAATGTAAATTTAGGAGGTTATTTTGTATTATCTTCCATAATTATAAAGGTGGATAATCTATAAAATCATTATGGTGTATTTTAAATTATCTTCCATAATAACATATGTGAGTAATTTTGATACAAAGTTAGAGGATTATTTTAAATTATTTTTATAAGATGTAACATGAGGGGATTATTTTAAATTATGTTTTCTAATAGTAAAGTGAGTAATTTAGATGTAAATTTAGAGAGTTGTTTTTAATTATTTTTCATAATGACATGTGAGTAATTTATATACAAATTAGGTGGTTATTTTGAACTATCTTTCGTAATGACAGATGTGGATACTTTAGATGCAAAATTTGAGGCTTACTTTATGTATTTTTCATAATGGTGGTGAGTAATGTATAAATTATAATAGATCCAATGACTATTATTGATGATGATTATTAGGGTGTACCAATTAAAGGCCAGATGTTTTTATTTATTGTGAGAATTTCTAATATTTATCTTTTTTCTAGTACGTCTGGTGAGAATTAACGTAGTGTCTTCGTTAAGACTCTAATCAGTAATAGTAAGATAGGATTCCTAAAGTTCGCTGTGCAAAGTCGATTTGTTCGCTCAGGGGAGCCTTGTTCCCTGACACAACATTCGCTATACAAAACAGACGGGATGAAATGGGACAAGCTGCCAGACCGAAGATTAGCAACGCAAATAAACCATTCTTCTGTCTCAATCCAAACAAGCAAGGAACAAGCGAACATTGTGCCAAAGCACCTCTAGTTTGACATATCACACATAGTTTCAGAAATCAACATAAGCATTCCTGCTGTTGCAGACAAAATGGTGAGGCATCAGTTCATCGCATCCCTGACATCTCTCTTCTGTTCTACCAACCACGGCGCTGCTCGCTCCCACCACGGCCGCCTGAATTTCCAACTGGGCGCCAAGCCGTCTGCTGCCTGTGGAACTTGGGGCCGTACTGCCCTCTTCCTGCACAAGCGCTTCCGTCCGGCTGGTAAGTGTAGGCACCACCTCTGTCATTCCTGCTGCCTCGGCTTTGCGCCATGTCAGCCCCATGGAAACCTCTCCCGTAGCCGCGGCCGCTGCCTAGCGCTGTCTCGGCAGTGATGGCTCTCCCTCTCCCACGTCCAAAGCCGCTGATCATCGGCTGCGGCTCTGCCACGGTTGGGATGGTTTCAGGCGGTGGTCGGCTACCAGGATAGGTGTGCCACAGCGGCCTCTTTGGAATCTCAGTTTCAGTTATAGTCTGCAAAAGACATGATTTCTTTCAGAGATGACGGCAAACTGGCGGTATGGTGCCAAATGCCCAGTGAACGAATGAAATGTGCAAGCCAAAGAGATATCTGAATATACCTTTTCAGGTTTTTTGACATTATCAAGTAGCCTTGGAATGATTTGCACTGGTTCTGGGTTGAAGAACAAGAATGATCTGAAACATACACAGGAATATGTAGTGAAAATTAAAGGATGACTTCTTTTCTTAGAAAATTACTGCCTGGATATGATAGGGTCAAGAGAAAACATACATTGTCTGGTCATTCCTAATGTCCTGTAGATCTCTTATCGGTGAACGGAAGAAACCACAGCTTATACTATCGTCGTTGACAGGCGACAACCACCCTCCAAGTTCACTATGTGGAATGAAATTTAGGATTTAGCAACATTCTTATAAGTTGCTCAGAAATAGAAGAAATGCATACGTAGCATCAGTTCAGACTTGATTGTACCTGGTAGATTGATCTGTCGGAAGCTTTTTTGACAAACAGTCAGATGTCTTCGCAAATGCTGCACCAGTTGGTAGAGTATTTGAGTTCCTCAGGAAGATCTTCTCCTGCCGAACTGTGTTCCTATTTATCTCATGTACCTATAAAATAAAAACAATGTAAAACGATCACGTGCAACATACTCTAGTAGACAATTTGCATAGAAGGTAGGCAATTTCTTTTACTGCAAGTTTGTCCTCCACCGTCTTGGTAGCCAGAATCAGCAGCTTTTCATCAATGAATGGCAACATTGCAATACCCTGAAACAATTTATTTCCGAGAAAACTAGCATGAGTGAAGAAGGCTTTCTGTTTTTCTTTTACAACTAGCCAATGTGGGGTCTTACATGTTGCCAATGTGCATCAAAATATGGGTAACCTAGCCTTATATTATGAACTCATATATATGGAATAATCACTTACTTGCCACAAGAAACGTTTCCCATGGGTATCAATCTGTACATCTGGTGAGAAAAATAAATTCCCATTTAGTTCAGTATATGGTACTCAGATTATATGATGACTTTAGAATAACAAGTACACCTGACGGATAGAATTTATGTATTAAAGACTCTTCATTTTCCATCAGTTCTCTGTAACACTTTGGTAGTGCACATGAGCTGCGAAAGAAAATAAACTTAAATTTCAATTAAAACATTGCGATGAAGAATGTGCATTATAAAATAAAGAATAGTTCACGTGCCTTTCTTTTGGAAGAACTGCCATGAGCTGATCGAATGGACTTAGTGGCTTATCAATGGTGAAAGATATCTTGAACTGAGATAGCCCTTCAAAATCAGATGCAAAAGGAGCATAATAGAAGGGATAGTACCTGCAGAAAACAAAACAGACATGCTATGCATAATACATAGAATGGAAACATTCGCTAGTACATGTCCATAAGAATTAGCAGTCATACATCACTCATGTGGAACTATTTATCAAGATTATCAATTATTTGAACTATTCATCATTCGATTTCGAAACAATGGAAGCATACTAGTACAATGTATAAGGAGATACATGTACAAATGAAAGCTCTGATCATAAATATGTATATCCTACCAGCTCCACGATGGCACATCTGCAAAATAGTACTGCAGCACCCAACAAAGTCCTTCCAGATACTTTTGAACCTAAATTAAGCCAGTGATAGAGAAAGTTAACAAAATATGATGTCTCTTCAAAACGCCCACCGGTATTAAAATTTTATCTGCACAGAGAAACAGGAAAAATCATAACCATGTCATTCTTCAGCTTCCCAACTTCATTAGATTTTTCCACACCAAACTTTTCCCTGTAGAATCGAGACTTCCATCCCGACAATCCCAATCTTACCTGCAATGGCATGTCAAACTTTGCACATATGTGAAATATTTTCTCAAATAGGCGCTACTAACCGCGTCATGTTTATAGGCTCCACTTTTTATAAGGTCTTGCTTGTTACGAAGAGTATCCTTTAAGTTTCGCCTCAGCTCTAAGGTATTTACAATTACCTAAGCAACAGGAGAATCAAATTCAAAACAAGCAATAATATGGATGGACTTTGGAAAATAAGTTTAGGAGAAATGATAAGGTATTGCCAGATATCCAATAAAAGTAGAAAAAAATAGGTAAGCTCTTCCCTACATCTGACTCGTCTTGGCTGTAGGTGGAAATACTGCAGTTTGTTGAAAAAGACTTTACTGTCAAATCTGGACCATCAGGATTTTCTTCCTAAGTAGAAGAAAGCTTGAGATTAAAAAAATGAATATGACAGTAATCAGGACAAAACTTTTAGCTGTATATAGCCCTCACCATATTGTCATAGTTTCTTTCTTTCCATTCTTCAGCAGCTTGGTGCACGAATTTGCGCTGTGACCTCTGCATGTAATCAACAAGTTCCAATTGGCACTATTGTACACTTTGACCAAAGGATCATAAGTTTTCTAACATACCTCTCGCAGTTCATATCTTTTAAGAAAAATTTTCTCTTCACACAAGGACAGTTCATGAAAAAACTTTTCCAACCTCGAAACTTCAAGGTATGCAGCATGTTTGTCTTTTAACTGTTTTTGGTAGCAACAGAAGTACATCAAAACATAACTCAACAAGTAATCAATGAAATTAATATAGTTCGATTTTGCATGTACCTTCTCGGTGCTCACAATATAGCCTCCCATTTTGTTAAATGCTTGTTTGTACACTTCCAATAGCAGATCAATTGCACCCTGCCACGTCGAAGACAAATTAAGGAAAAAATCCCACTTTTTTTGCAGTGGGGAACATGTGAAAGGATGTGACAATAACTATACTGTTTGCTGTTAAGCTGTCAGAATCAGACGGCATAAGCACACCTCATGCATCTCAACTGAAGGAATATGTGGAATGAAGTCATTTCCTATCAGGAAACAAATAAATATGAAGTCATCTATGAGCCTTTCGATATCCATTTTGACAACCGGGTTTGGTATCTTCAAATCAAGCTCTAGATACTCCCTCAGAACCCATATGTTCAAAAACTGCAAGAAGATGGTGTTATATGAAAAATTAAAATGGAAGCACCCTGTTATCATCTCTGAGGAACAAACCTGATAAGGTTTCTTGGGAGACCTGTGCCTATGAGCTATTTCTGTTACTTTGGGGAACCATCCTCTACACTTTCTCGAGAAATCTTCAGTTTTGAACAGTTCTTTAGATAGAGGGATGCAATTTTCTGGCAGATTATGAGGTAACACATCCTGTTCAAGTTAACAAAAGGGCTATTCTCAACTCAATATTTACAAAATTCTGCAACTACATTTAACTTCAATACACCGTTGCTTGCTAAATCCAATTAACTAAATGCGGTTTGCCAAAACTATCATAGTATGGATGAAGCTAGGAGTTCACACAAGGATGGATTAACAGACCTCACGCAAAATCGAAAAGTGAAGTTCATGAGATGCCAAAGCGAGCATTATTAGGTCCGCATCCTGTAATGATATTCCGAGTGTAAAATAGGCACAATAAAAAGAACAATCAGAAGATCAATGGTGTGTCACAGTAGAAAAATATTCAAATATTTAGTTAGTCCATGTCCGTCGTACCAGTCCATACAAGCAGTGCCTTGTGTTTGGATCATAGTTCTCTAGGCTCCGTTGTCCCCGGATGAAAGACATTATCTTGTGTTCACCTTCTCCAGGTACATTTGAATCAGAGAGTATTACCTTCAGAACGCAAGTATCATGAAGGTTATCAAGTAATGATCACGTTGACTAAAATCAGGATCTTGACCAAATATGTGATTAGCTAGCCACTCAAAAAAAAGCACAATGCCTCAGATTAAAAGAAAATTATCACTCTTCACTTTGATATTTCACCTGTAACTGTAAACACACAAGTTGAATTTGAAATTAAATACTTTTGACAATGCTAAAAATATCATTTTCACTTGCCTATCAGTTGACAAATTTTGAATAGTAAAGTCAAATGGTAACCATTATTTCAAAACAGAGGGTGCATTTTACACACTGAAACTAATATCTTGAAACCTGTCAATATTAAAATATTAAATAAAAGCTGTCATAAGAATAAGATATTTACTGCAGCAATGCAAAAATGGGAAGGTGAAACATTGGCCTCATCGTCTACTAAACCTTGATGCCTTTCCACCCGGGGTCACTATTCAACCGGGACCGGATGTAGTACTCGAGGCCTTTGGAGAGCTTCTCCATGAACTCCGTCCCTGGCGTGATGACGTTGGGATCCGAAACCTCATTTGTCTCCTGCGGCTGCACCTCCCGCCCTTCAGCTCTGAACTTCTCTCTCAGAAGCTTCTCCTCCAGTTCCTGCAAATCATACCATCGAACATAAGGTTGCTGCAAATCATGCATAGCAGCAAACAAATCCAGAGGACGGTTAAGGGTAATTTACTGCATCTTTAGCGTCCTTGGCAGCCTTGAAGCGCCTGGACCTCTGCTGGTTCATTTTGGCGCGGGGAGCAACACCATCTTCACGCAGTTCAAACAAGAAATTAATAAACGCATTCGTTGTATCGTATCAAACGCCAAAGACAACGGGAAAAAACGGGAAATACGGTTGAAACATGTACTAGTATACAGTATATAGTACAGACGTACCTACTGCCAAGTAGAGCAGCTTGGTAGGCCTGACCATGCGGAAGAGGCGGTCAATGTACTCGAACATGGCCGCAAACACCTCGTCGAACGTCGTCGGCGGGCACACCTGTATTGCATCGCGTATCCATGAGGCCATGACATTTATTAGCTTGTCAAGAGATACTACCTTTGTCCCTAACTAAGTGTCGCTGTGGGATGTGTGCCGGTTAAAATTGTTCAAGTTTGACTAGATTTATAGAAAAGTATTAGCAACGTTTGTATCTCTAAATAAATTTATTATAAAAATAAATTCAAAGATCTATCCAATCATAATAACTATGTACTATAAATATTAATATTTTTTAATATATATTTAGTTAAAGTTAAGTAAGTTTGACTTTTCGGAAAGCGAGTACAACAGATAAAAAATGACGGAGGGAGTACATCAGTTGAGTTGAGGAACTGGATCGATCCATACATCAGGATGATGTGTGAGTTGAGGAACGTGACATTTACTAGACGACATACATGATCCATCACGTTTACAAATACCAGCTCGTCAAGAGATTCAGTCGATGAGGAACTGGATCCATCCATCAGGAGGATTATGAGTGTTAATTACAGACATATAATATACCTGGTCCTCCGGGTGGAAGCATGGGTGGATGATGCCGTTCATATCCAGGTACAGGTTGTGGTAGACGCCAACGCCATTGGGCCCTGTGGAGGCTTCCGCCAGCGACGACGATGTGCCGGCTCCACCTTCGTCTTCCTTGGCGGCGACGACGATATTTGGGTACTTAACCAAGAGCCATTTGTACAAGGATGGCACCCCCATGGCATGCAGGGGGGCAAGGCACCTAGCCAGCAGCTGCAGCCTGCAGACTTGCAGGCGATCTGATCGTCCGCCCTTGTGTGGCGCTGAGTTTGTCTACGGGGGCGGGCTGCCAGCGGCGATTGATTTGAACTAGTTGGTGGTAGCCAGCGAGGGGAAAGCAGAGGAAACAGCTAACGGGTGTGAAGCCGACAACGAATTTCGTTCTTTTACTCTGGGTCCCACGGTCCCACTGAAAAGACCGAATCGAACACGAACCAGAGGAGCCTTCGAGACTAAGCATAGATGAATTTTCAGCACTACGGTACGGGGAACCTTGGAAGTACCTGCAGAAAAACAAAACAGACATGCTATGCATAATACATAGAATGGAAACATTCGCTAGTACATGTCCATAAGAATTAGCAGTCATACATCACTCATGTGGAACTATTTATCAAGACTATCAATTATTTGAACTATTCATCATTCGATTTCGAAACAATGGAAGCATACTAGTACAATGTATAAGGAGATACATGTACAAATGAAAGCTCTGATCATAAATATGTTACAAGGGGTGATCTTCAAAATTGACTTTCAAAAGGCTTATGATAGCGTGAATTGGAGTTCTTTTTGGAAGAAGTTCTTGTAAAGAAAGGCTTTGATCAATAGGTTACCAGTTGGATAATGAGTACTGTTAAGAACAGAAAATTTGTGTTAACATTAATGGAAAAATGGGCCTTATTTCAAGACTCACAGGGGATTGAGACAGGGAGATCCATTATCACCATCCCTGCTTTTTAATTTGTTTGGAGATGCCTTAGCACACATCCTTAACAAGGCTAAGTTGAAAGGCCACATAAAAGGTTTGGTCCTACTTCTTGTCCAGGGGGTTTAACTCATCTACAGTACGCTGATGACACCATTCTGTTCCTGGAACATGGTGACTTGTCAATCATTAACCTGAAATTCTTGTCATATTGCTTTGAGTGGCTAACTGGGCTTAAAATCAATTACCACAAGTCTGAAGTTCTTGTTCTGGGGGTTACAACTGAGGAACAACTGAGAGTGGCAAACATGCTGAATTGCCAAGTGGGGAAGCTTCCTATGACTTACTTAGGTATTCCAATCTCAGATGTGCCCATAGGTATTAGAGGTATCAGGAAAATCATAGATAAAATGGGGAATAAACTACAACCACGGAAGGGCAAGAACATGACCTCAGGGGGCAGACTGATCTTAACTAATACTTCCTTGAGTAATCTTCCTATATTTAGAATGGGGATGTATAAATTGAAAGAAGGTGTTCACCAACAAATGGATTCTATTAGAGCCAAGTTTTTCGGGCAAGGGGCAAGTGATAAATCTAAGTATGATATGGTCAAATGGGAGAACATGTGTATCCCAAAAGACTATGGGGGCCTAGGAATCATGAATACAAGGGTGATAATGAAGCTCTAGTGGGAAAATGGGTGTGGAGGATGATAAAAGCTAATAAAGATGATTTGTGCTATAATCTGCTGAAGTAGAAATACCTTAAAAAGAGATCCATCAAGCAATGTGAGTTTAATAATGGCTCACAATTCTGGAAAGGGGTGCTAGAAACAAGAAGTGCTGTAAATTGGGGTCTAACTGTTACAGTCAGTGATGGTAGGAAACTATCTTTTGGGAGGATGTCTGGGTGATGAGGGTTCCATTGAAATTAGAGTTCCCTAGTCTATACAATATTTGTGCTGATAAATCCTGTTTAGTAGCAGACTGCTGGGCAGGGGATGGGTGGAAGGTTAGTTTTAAAAGATCTTTAGGAGTGGAAGACATGGAGGAATGGGACAGATTGATGGATGTTCTTGATCATTCTCAACTACAAAACAATGGTTTGGAGGACAATCATAACTGGGTTTTTGAAAAATTTGAAGTTTACTAAATCCATCTATAGAAACATGATGTTTATGGGTGTGATTAATAAGAGAATGGAAAAACTTTGGTACAATAAAGCTCGAATGAAAATTAAAGTCTTTATGTGGATGCTTATCCAACACAAATTGCAAACTGGAGTTAATATGAAGAAAAAGAATTGGCAGGGGAGTAGGAACTGCTATCTGTGTGGGAGTCCAGAGACCACTGATCATATATTTTTCAATTGTATTCTAGTTGAGACTATTTAGATGTGTTTCAAGGAGGCATTAGGGTGGAATAAAATTCCAACAAATGTACAGGAGGTGTTTGATCATTGGATACCCCTCAATTCTCATAAATATCATGCTAAGCTGTTTGTTTTATCTATTGTTCTGTGGGGCATTTGGACTATACGCAACAAGATGAGCATTGAAAAGAGTTTCCTGGGCTCATCGAATGAAGCTTTCTATAAAATTTTTTCCTTACTGCAGAAATGAAGCAAGCTATTCAAGGGGGGAGAAGTCAACTTCTTGGAGGACATGATCAGGACTATGAAGGCTTGGCTGCACGATTTCTGGCAGCGAACAATGATATGGAGATTGAAGGGCTAATCTGAGGATGACCGGGTTTAGTTGTTGTTTCTTCCTTTAGCTGGTTTAGGCAGGGTGCTTGGTAGCGGTTTGTTTGCTGCTACTTTTCTGGGTCAGTCTGTAAGATTGTTTTGAAGCTAGAGGCTCAAAACACTTTCTGTGTGTTTCTTTTCTGTTTGGCCTCATAGGCGAAGTTTGTTTCTTGCTGTAGGAGTCTAGGCTGAGCTGGTTGGCTCAAGCTTTTCTTTTGTAAACTGGAGTCCCCAGTTGTATGAACCGTTATTTTACTTTCTATAAAGCAGGGTTTAACCCCGTCAAAAAAATAAACCTTAGTGGAAGAAAGACAGAAAGTTGTTCCATGTGCTACAGTACATGGTCGCCTTCAATGGCCAGGATACGGGTGTTGTCGATCAGCCTTTGATTTCCTATGGTAGTATTTTGTTGTGCTCTGGTCAGTTGTCGCTAAGTGGTTTGTTGTAGGGGCCGTAGTCACCCTTCTAGGAATTAAATTTTTTTATTCAACTCTGAGAATTAAATTGCATAGACCTGAGGTGGACCACACGTGCACTTAAAATTAATTACACATGATACAGTAAGATCCTGGGTCCATGCAATTTTATTTCCCCTTCTGGGTTGGGCCAACATTAACCTCTGGTTAGTTGTTTCATTTCTAGCCCCAAAGGACTCGGGGTTGGTTGGGCTTTTCGCAAGCAAAAACATCGAACGTCTGTCTAGCTTTTGGAGCAAGCCCAACGAATAAGGCAGGGCCCAGTGTAGCCCAACAATACAACAAAGCATGATGCATCTCCAGGAGGCTACGTTCTTGTGCTTCTTGATCCACCACCATCAATGAAACTGTGCATCTCATCTCACGCCACCAGCACTAATAACTGTGATTGTTGTTTCAAAAAAAAACTGTGGTTGTTATATAACAGGGTTAAAAATGCATGCATGCATGCCCATCTTTTTTTAAATGCAAAACAGCCCGTTGCCAGTTGCCACCCCACCATGCATCACGCAATGATTTGATCATTAAATTTAAGAATGAGGAATCACTCCAAAGTTCGACCATTTTCTCATGGGTCAGAAATTAATCTCACCAACAAATTACAGTCACATGAACTCGCAGGCAAGCTGCCGACGAACAACCATTCAGCCAGGGAATGAAGAAATGCTACTCCTGTCCATATCACCTCATTAACTTGAATACGTCAGGGCCATTACGCTTACGCCAATCAAATCCGAACTCGTTTTCAATTTGGCTGGCTCGCGTCCATGGGTCCATCCAGGCACGACCACCTCCCCTCCGCGTCCGAATCATCAATCCCGCTCTTCGTCTTCGTCCAGCGAACTCGACCACCTCCGCCAGCTCAGCACGCGGCCCCATGCGTGGCAGAGTTGGCCTGCGCCACCCCTGCGATGATGCTAAGCACCTATCCACCGTGGGTGACTAGAAGAGATTAGAGCAAAGAGAGACATGGAATAAACTGGTTTTTTTATGATTGTATATGTTGATCACCTCAATCGGTCGTATCCCTTATTATATTTTGTGCCCCTTATTATATTTATAAGAAGGGATTTGGTCTTATCCAATGAGGGTCGAAATCCCTTGCAAAAACGCATCAAAATACAACTCAATTCCGAACTGGCCTGTCAAAACCGGCCTAGCCGGGTTGCAAAACTGGCCTAGTCTGTTTTTCTGGGAAATCCGGCTTAGTGGGTTCTGGAATCCGGCTATGTCTGTTTTTCTGCATCAGCTCCCAAAATTCTCTTTTCTTCATATCTAGACTCCAAATGTGACAGTCTATATATGTTTTTCGATCG